GGACCTGGGAGCGAAGGCAGTTCGCGATTCCTGGTGGAAAGGGGACTGGCAGGGGCAACGCACAAGGCATGGGCGCCCGTGGCCGCCGTGGCGGCGAGCGGCAAGGGTGGGGAATGGGGCGCGCAAGATTAGGGTCAGCCAGCTGCCTGGGAAGGCGCGCGGTGAAGACGCATTCCCCGGTGACCCGCGGCGGTGGGGAGTAGGGGGCGCTGGGGCGAGGTGCGCCCGCGGTGGCGGGGGGCGTGGGGCGCCCTTGGCGGCGGCGAACAGCTTGAGTATACACGCAGCGATCTCTGCGCGGCGAGAGCAAATGCGTCGAAGGGTTGGGGCGGCGGTGGGGCCAGAAAGACAGCCATAGGCAGGGCATTTGTTGTCGCCCAGGGGCGGCGGCGACAAGCATGGGCATGCCCTGTGTTGTCGCCTCTGCGGGGCTCTTTCGCTTTATTGCTGAAGTTTACTCAGTCCGGAGAAACAGATTATTCGTTTCTTTCGAATCATCCTCGAACGACGTATTCTGACGAGTCTTCGCAAACCGATGGTGGGCGGTGCTGATGATGATGGCGGTGGTGGTAGTGATGATGCTAGTGGTGATAGGGATGGTCATGCTACGGACGTTGAATACGCGATGATGAGGGTGTTTAGGAGGACGAGGAAGACCCGGACGAGAACGACTTGCCACAGTGGGCCAAGAGTGTTGTCAGGAACGGTTTGCTACACATGCCGGTTCAACGCCATGTATTCACTTGATATTTTTTTGTGGACGCCCTGAGAAAATGCCTGCGATACTGTCTACGGTTATGTTGTAGCATGTTCCCTTACCCTCGCAAATTAGACATGTCGGAATCCATCGTCTACAACGCCATCGAAAGATCCCACTGCAGATTTTCTTTGCATATCGGCATGCTGAATCGCTGGCATATTCGATCTTCGAACATGACATTCTCGCTTCATACACCTGGACTACTGTTATACTGGCATGTCGATGTGGGACCCCGTGTTAAATGTGGAGTTCTCGTAGCAGGCATCGTCAGGAATTATGACATTTTGGGGTCGTTGTCGAAATTTTCGTATCTTCCAAATGACGCTCTCGCCCGAGGCATCATCAAAGGAAGGTGTTGCTCAAGTCTGCGTCTTACAACATGTTCTTCGATTGTTGGGTGACCTTTGGAGGGCACTAAGACGGTCCAATAAGCAAACTCATTGGGACACCTGTGATTTTTGCAATACGCTAGTTTGCAAGTGCGCGTCTCGCTGAAGGCATCCTCAAAACGTGATTTGAAGTGGGCCTCCGGAACTACTAAAATCAAGAGTGGTGGTCACCATTATGGGTTTTACCATTTTCTGTCCTCCCACCAATCGTATCCCCCCAGGTGTCATCGAACAGTAGATTCGGACTGGCTTACGAACATATCAGATGAGGATGATGGTCATGATTGATTGGTGGTGGTGTTTGCGATGCAGATGTTGATGATTCTGAGGGTGTTCATGTTTCTGTATCGTTCGTGATCTTGGCATATATGATCCAGGGTCGAGGGTTCACGGGCCCCCCCCCCATGGTATGGTCCCAGGATTCGTCGGGCCCCCCCCCCTCCAGATGGTATGGTGCCAGAGACGACGACGACGACGACGACGACGACGACGACGACGACGACGACGACGACGACGGCGGCGACGACGACGACGATAACGGCGACGACTACGACGACGGCGACGACGACGACGACGACGACCACGGCGACGACGACGACGGCTGCGGCGGCGACGACGCCGGCGGCGGCGACGACGACGATGACGACGATGACGACGGCGACGACGACGATGACGACGACGACGATGACGACGACGACGACGACGACGACGACGACGACGACGACGACGGACGACGACGACGGACGACGAGGACGACGACGACTCTGAACCACCACAGCACCACACCACATCCACAGGGGGGGGGAGGGGGGCACCGCAGCGCAGCACCACGCCACGCCCACTTCTGAACCACCACAGCACCACACCACATCCACAGGGGGGGGGGGGCACCGCAGCGCAGCACCACGCCACGCCCACAGGGGGGGCGGGGGGGACCATCGCGCGGGGGGGGGGGGGGGGCCAATGGCATCAGCATTGGGGGGGGGGGGCCCAAGCCCTGGACCATATATGCACGCCTCCCCTGGAATTGAATCGGCAAAGCGACCTCACATAACTCTAGGCGGGTCTGGGCATTGCGAGTTGCGCAGTTGTTGCCGTTTTCGTCATCTCTGGGCAAAATCAATTTGGAGAGTGCACAAGAGCTGTAACCCATTTCGTAAACGGTGCGGCACAGAGGTCTGCACGTAAACGGTACGTGCTAGTGGGCGACGCGTAAGCGGTGCAATATTGAGGGCTGCACGCCAACGGTACAAGACAGACGCTTGAAGGGTTGCACGTACACGTGCATCACCGATTGGTTTTGGTTTATTAGGAGAAGGCCCAAGAGGCGCTTGGGCAGTCGGCACGTTCATTTTGCCCAGAGTCCATTTGGGGGCGCGTGCCCATAGTTGACCCCCTGTGGACATTCTGGAAGCTCGCGCAGGCAGGCTCTTCAAACTCACGCGTTTCCCGTTGATGCCAAGAACGGTCCCCCAGAACATGCGTTTCGCTTGACTGACCCTCATTCAACGGATATGCTGGAGTGCATCGATTCCGACTTCGTTGCTCACACCTGTTGTTTCGCTTGAGACTTCCTCCGGATATGGAGACCCTGAAGTATGTGGCAACACTTCTGGATTTTCGAATGTTGTGCTCTCGCCTGGGACATATTGGCCACGTTGGGATGCTGCAGACCATGGCTTACTAGCTCTTATGCTGAAACTGAAGCTCTCGCTGCAGACGTCCCCAGGGCATTGAGATGTCCAGGGGAATCGCAGGTTCACAGCATCTGTCAATGAGGCTTTCGCTGGAGACATCCTCAAACATGGAGGCGTCCGAAGCAGCACTCTCGGATACGTTCGTGGGACTCCGCTCGGAGGACATCCAGGATGGCCCGAGCCGCGAAATCTTTGAGCAGCCAGTGGTTCTTCACCAATGTTGGTTTAAAGCAAGGATGTTGCTCGATGCACCATCAACCAATCCAGTCGGGCGAGCATTCGTCCATATCAGATTCTGATGATGCTGACGATGCTGATGTTCATCATGATTTTCATGATGATGTGTGTGGTGATGGTGGCGGCGGTGTTGATGATGATATTGATGTCATTGTTGATGTTGATGCTGACGGTGACACTGTTGGCCAGGACGAGGACAATGATGATGATTTACCGCAGGGAGGCGGTGCGAACCTCAGACGCGATGTACTAGTGATGTGCTAAGCTTCGTGTCGAAGTGCTCGGAGCTTCAAGACATGGTGTCTTCGCCTGGTGCATCCTCGAAACCATGGGACGCTGAACGAACATGGTCGAAGAAGTTGAACATGGTCGAAGAAGTTGGACATCGCTGCAGACGGCCTCAGAAAATTAAGATGCATGAGGAGCTTGCAAAGTGGTCGCGTCTTCACCATATGGAGGCTTCTGGAGGAACACTCTCCGATGTGTTTGTGGGTGCTATAAGGGAATCTCCAGGATGGCCCCACAGGAGAAACCTTGAATAAACCAATACTGCTTTAGCAGTTCTGCTTCCAAACAAGGTTTTCGCTCGAGGCACACTCAACACCACTCCTTGGGATGAGCCTCTGAACATTCCATACGAGCGTAAAGATGGCGATAATGCTGCTGATGATCATGGCCTGTTGGTGATGGTGATGCTAGTGATGATTAGGATGGTGATACTGATGTTGATGACGATGACGAGGTCGATGGCATGCAAGCAAGCCCTTGGGTCCCTACCGAGTCGAGCGAGTTCAAGTGACACGGGGGATCAAATCATCACCCTGGCTCATTTGGGTGCGGCGGCCTCTTCCTGCCCTCCTGGAAGTTCGAGTGTCGTCTCACTCGGAGCCGAATTGTCATCATCTCGCGTCCCGGGGTGCCGCCAAACGTACTACTCCCGCCACCTTTGTGTACCCCTGCCGGATGCCGCCAGGCGTGCAGCCGTCGTAAGTCTCGTGCGGCCCTCGGGGTCCAGCGGGTTGCGGTCCTCACCTTGCTCATGCTGCCAGAAGCGTAGTTGTCCTCAGTTCCCTGCGCCCTTTGGAGGTCCAGCGGAGTGGCCTCCTCGGCATTGTCCCTCTTCGAGTAGTCATCCTCACTATCTGCCTTTGTCCCTCTGTTCCTTCTCATCTGCCCCCCTATATCCTCACTGTATGCCTGGACGTGATCATAGTTGCCCTCGTCCTGATGTATCACCCTTTCCCCAATTGTCCCTCCTCGTCCTCATTCTTACCAGCCTTGACTCCGGCCTCATGCCCCTCATCTGTATCATCATACTTTTTCTGTTTCTCTTCTGCATCCGTCTCTGTCCCTCAAGGCTGTACTCAGTCTCCTTCTCATCCTCCACTGGTCCTCATCCCGTATCCAGGGAGATGTCCTAATGTTTGAGGTTGCCAAGCGTGTCTGTTGGATCGGTTGTGTCCGTGGGAGTTCTTTCTGAGAAGGTCCATGTCGCGAAGTCCAGATCAGGAGGCATCAGTGGACTCCTTGTGCCAGGGTTCCTCGTTGGCCAGGTCCGCGTGGTCCATTGGGAATACAGCAGTAGTTCAGCAGTGGCGTGTGGCAAGTGGCTGCCTGCCCAGCGGAGGAGGCACTAGTGTGGTTTTGCATTCGCTTTGGTTCCACGAACCAACGAGGATGAATAGCAATTGGTTGAGTACGGCCTCGCTGCACGGTGTACCCTCCCCCACCCCTGGGGGGATGTATCCTCACCAGAGGAAATGAGAGGGAGATTATGTTCCGAGAGTGAGAGAGAGAGAGAGCTCATGAGCGAGACCTAGACAGAGAGCACGCATCTTCAGCAATTGTATTGACTTTTGTCCAGAAGCCTTGTGAAGTTTGAAGGGGCGTTGCTAAACGTTCGATAGCGAAAGCCAGGACTTGATCAGCTGTGGCGCGCTGGACTGCTGCTCGATCATCTGCGTGGGGAACGAATGCCAGAACGACGGCTGTTTTGCAGACGCTGACGTATTGTTGGCTTATGGTCTGTTGCACCAGCTGCATCTGGTCGACAAAACCATATTGCTGGAATTCCAGGATCCTGAGCACATGTGTTTGTTGCCCAACGACTACTCTGTTGGACAACGGGACAGCGATCCGACCATGGCCGCGACCGAGGACATCACGGATGCCGATTGCACTTACACGTTTGATCCCCACTTCGTTTCGGGGGAGGTGTCGGAGGGGGGAGATGCGACACCAACACCACCAGGGGGCCCACCTCCAGCGAGGAGGTCCACGATGCCTCCCCGAGCTGGAGGCTGGGGATGTCTCGAGCGAGAGGGGGGGACCACACCACCAGGGAGACCCCCCCTTGCTCCTCGCATCGCCTCGCCCTGTTGGTGTTGGTGTCGCCTTTCCTTGCTCCTAAGGTGTTCCTTCCGCGCTTCATGGGCACCCTCATGGGGGGCGTTGTCCGCAGCAAGGGCACCGTCGAGCTGATGCAGCGCCTCTGCATGCCGTCCCTGCCGCACATCGAGCAGACCGGCGACACCCCGCGAATCCTCGGGAAGGGGGAGGGGAAGGGGGGGGGGAAGGGCAGGGGCAGGAGGAGTAGGAGGAGGAGGAGGAGGAGGAGGAGGGGCAGGAAGAGGAGGAGGGGAGGGGGAGGTGGAGGAGGGGCATGAGAAGAAGGAGGAGGAAGAATAAGCCGGGGCCGCTGCTTTTCCCCTGACCCCCCCATGTCTGAAAGCAGTACGTGCGCCTTCCCCCCCCAGAACTTCGGAGATGGCCTTGCTGCATGCCTCGTCTCCCAGCACCAGGAAGCACACGCAAAGACGTACGGTCAGCGCGCGCTGTAAGGACGCGCGCCCTTTCGAGGGGGCCCTTGTGTCCTCGCCTATGCGGCAAATCCTGTGCCGCTTCCACTGGCCAGCCTCTCAGGGTACCCTTGGGTTGTGGCCGCCTGCCGCCCATAAAATCCTGATTTCGGCCTCCAAGGGTCTTGCGTCCTTACCACCCGTCCTTACTAGACTCATGTCGGGCGTGTCCCCCTATAAGGGGGCTTTCGACGGAAAAATAAGAATACCACCAAACTATTCCAAAAAGGTTATTTTTTCCAAAAATAGTCCCCAGACCTTTTTTTTTATCTTCTTGTATTTTTTTTTCGTCGAAATTCCCCCTGTAGGGGGATAGGCCCGACTTAATACTAGACGTTTTCATTGTAGTGCGATTGGCTTTTCCATGCCCTAGAACACGGTTGGCCTTTGCGCGCACCGCTGGGGAGCAATGCCGAAGGCTTCGGTGGGGATCGCTAGAAGAAAACTAGTTTTTTTCTTCCTGGCCTCCCCCGGACCTAGCGCGGGTGCGCCAATCGACCCTGAGGCTTTTTTGAAGGTGCTGGGTTCTTTGAGGAGGACGGGGAGGACGAGGGGTGGGACTGCTCCCCGCAGCCCCATTATCCGACGCTTTGGAGCCCGCGCAGGGAAGGTTACACCAATGAAGCACAGCATGTTTGCCGCCAGTGTGAGCCCCAGCAAGCGAGTCACTGCACCGCGGATGTCCCCGTCGTGCGATGCAGTCCACGAGGACGAAGCTCTGCGGCCCAGGCTGTGCCGTGCCAGCTGCGCGGTGCACCATCCGCTGGGCAGGCCGTTCGGTGGAGGCTGCGTGGTGCAGTCCATGGGCTGCGGACCGTGCGGTGCAGGCTGTGTGGTGCGAGCCGCCCGGTGCGATTCCCCCGCGGCGGGAGCTCTGCGGGCGCCCCCGGGGGGCGGCCCTCCGCGGCGGGCATCCACGGGGCGACAGCGTGGGGCGAGCCCTCGGCAGACCTGTGGAGGGCACGGTGCGCTCACGAGGCGCCCACGGACGGCCGCGTGGCGCAGTGTCCACACGCACGCCGGTCGCTGAAAGTAGATCTTTTTGGATTCCCAGGTCCCAAACTACTTCAGTCGGGGCTGGACAGAACCCCCAACAGTGACACGTCGATTAGTGAATTGTCCGTTCTCGGCTCTCGAGAGGGCGCCGTGGCCGTTATTTTCCAGGCTTGCGCCCGCCAGGTTTGGGCCTCAGGTCATTTTCACTAAACCACGTTTTACTAAAGGGGGGTCAGTCCATCCCCGATTCAGGCGCATTCCTACTTTTCAAGAGTCGACGTGCTTTTGCTGTGTCTTGTTAGTCTCTTGGGGGGCCTGGACCCAAGCTGCTGTCTCCGCCTTCCTGCTTCATGTTTCCACCTACTTCTTCCGACCGACGTGTACCCATCCGATAATTCCAATTTGAGTGCGATTCCCTCAAGCGCAAGCGTTCTCTGAGGAGGGCGCACGCTCACCTTTCCCGCTCCTCGTCCCCATCTGCGGCGGTGGCAGGGGGAGCGTGGATCGCCGTGGAGGTTTGGAAAGGGGTTCTGAGGGACACGTGACCCGGACCCTGGATGCTTTCCCCAGGTCCAGCTCTTCATCCTGCCTTGTGCCTGGTGGCCCGAGGCCCGCCGAGGCCCCTGGGGCCCAACAGCGGGGAGCAGCTCGCGTGCCGAGCCGAGGCGAGGCGAGGGGCGGCAGTCCAGGGCCCCCCTCGCCTGGCCAGGCAACCCCGTCGCCGTGTGGCAGATCCGCGTGCCGCGGGCGCTGCGGGGCCAGAGCTACGGCAGGCTGTTCGGCGATCTCATGGGCGAGGACAGCGGCCGACCGGCGGCCGGTGGACCGGTGCAGCGGCGGGGGGGCCCCAGATTGTGTTGGCAGTGCCCGCAAGGAGGTGGAGGCGGTGCGGGAATTTTTCCTTCTAAGGAAGCCCATCGCCAGATTATGGAAAGGTGGGTTCAATTTAACTTCGCCTCCGCATTCCTTGCTTCTCATCATCATCCTGTTCTTTCCTTTCCTCCTCCACGTCGGCTTCCTCATCCTGGTCCTTCTCGTTCCCCTTGCCTTCTCGGAGGTTGCGCATCTTCTCCTTGTGTGCACGGTTTGTAAGCAAACCCCCTTCTATTGAGAATGGACACGAGGATTCCTTATGGGTACGGTGGAAACCAAGCGAACCGAAGGACACACCCACAACAACATAGACACCACATGCGGATTGCAAACATGTTGTCGCACAACTGCCCAAGCAAACACAAGGCAAAAAACAAGATGTCACTGTTCGTTCCATTGTTGCACTGCCCTACTGCCCCCCTGCCTCTTCGTTCAAGCCTCATTCCCACCACCACCACCACCCCGCGTTTCACTTTTCCACCCCCTCTTCCTCGGCCTCCCCTCCTTGCCCTGAACGTAGATTCGGGTCTAGATTGGCGTTCCAGAGACCCTGGTATCAGACAGCGAGAGCAACATCTGAGCGTTTTGTAAGTCCTCGCTCAAGTTTAAAAGGCTCCCTGCTCTGGCAGCAGGGCGTCCGGCCCCCTCCGCGCACGCGTGGCGACCACTCTATCCATCCGAGGCGCCATCCTCATTGGAGGGTTTCTCCGAAGGGCTTTGGCGACCCGTCCTCCTCCTCCTCACTCATCCACCTCCTCCTCCTCCGCCTCCTCGTGGTCCTCCTCCTCCTCGGGTCGCCTACGGCCCCGCGGGAAACCGTGCACTACTACCTGGCCCACCAGAAGCGGATCAGGGTCATTGTGGACATCACTTCGGACACCCTGAACATTTTCACGATCAACAGCACGATTACCCACCAGAGGGCAATCAAGTATCCTGGAAGGTTCGAAACATTTTTTTTCTGACGCCAAGCGCGAGTACGGCCATTACTGCGATATTTGTTGGTACTGGCGAGGTGTCTTCAATCATCGGCGATATCATTATTCACGCCGGGATTTGGGTACGTATGCCCCTTCTCGCGCATCAGCAACATTGTTATTCACGCCCGGGTTGGACTACAAAAACCTTCCTCGCGCATCAGCGACATGATTATCCACGCCTGGTTTTGACTACGGATGCCCGCGTACGCATCACCGACATCACCACTCACACCTTGCATTGACGACTGGCATCCCTCTGCAGTCTCAGCGACATCCTTATTCCCATCTGGAAGTAACTACGGACATGATTTGCCAATCTAGGCGGTACCATGGTTCCAAAACGGCACCGATCACGATCGTCAAAGAGGAAAGATGACCTCTCCATGGGGCGGCACCCAGGGACTAGAAGAAGTGACGAGGAGCACGTGACCAGGATTGAAATTTGGTTTCAGAGGTAGTCAGTTCGCACACAAAAACCTGACTATGTGGTGGCGGACGAGACGGTGACATCATAGCGTGTCTTATCTCGGCCAGGAAGACGAGGTCGCAAGCATGCCCTTCGAACCATCATCGGGAGGGACGGCCTCACATACGTTGGTGAGAACGCGTTCTTTGTGCCTGCGATCGTAGCTCAAACGGCCAGAACATCGAAGTTCAACCCTGCAAATCATCCCAGTTCGCTCGATGGCTCGGACAGGAATGCGGCCTTCATGAGCAGGACAGCGTCACCATCCACCTCGACACGATCTTCGCGTTTCAAAGATGACAGCGAAATCTGGCACAGTATATCGAAACATTCGAACTTCTGGGCGACGAGGCATCAGAGACGGCAGGCCTGTCGATCAAGGGCAGCGGCGGATGCCGTCTCCCATTATCAGGGAGTGAGTTCCTTCTGATTAAACAGAGGGCATCAAGCAGAAGCACGGTGATATCAAAGGACTCATAAGATGACTCCAGCGGCTTCTGGAATGACGAACGCTGGCACGAGGGCGACAAGCGCAACATCTGGGTCGACTGCGGCGCCCGCTTGGGCGAGCAGGACTAGGGCGATTCCAACTGGTTGTGTGTGCAGAGTCAGAGCATTAATTTAGTCATCAGCCTCGCCCTTTTCTTGGCGTGCTCGCTGCTGCTCCTCGGTGCGCCGCTCGCGCCCCCCTCCGGCTCTTAGCCTTCGCCCTCCCTCTCTATCCTTGCCGCCCCCTGCTCCAATTGCCCGTCGCCCGCTCGGCCCCGGAGGTGGCCCTCGAGGCTTTGGCATCGGACCGCCCCTTCTCTCCTCTTCGCCCCCCCCCCCCCCTCGCGCGGCTGCCCAGACCGTCGCGCCCCCCGCGAGAAATTCCCGAGAGTCCGGCCCCCCCGCGAAAAATTTGCGAGAGCCCCGCGACATATTCGCGTGAATCCTTCGCGCTGCGCGCTATCCTCTGCGGCGCAGTGAAGCCCCCCCGGGCGATTCGCGAGGGCCGTTCCCGGGCGAGACCACCCCGGTCGACTTGCGCAGGAATTGAGCGGCGGAGACCCCCCCGGGCGACTCCACCGCTCGGACCGACCCCGACCCCCGGCGAGTCGGCCCGTCGTGGAGCCCTCGCGGGCGACCCAGGACCCCCAGCGCCCTCCCAGGCGAGCGGGGGCGCCTGCGGGGAAAAAACGCCGTAGCTCCCCCTTTCGAGGGAACTTTGGCGGGGGCGATCTGCGCTGGGTCGGCAGTCGAACCCCGCGGGCGATTGACCGCGGCAGATCCCTCCCACATGCAAAAAACACAGAAGCATAAAACACAAACGCAAACAAAACGACACAACACAACACACAAAGAAACATGCAGCACATTGGACGGAACATGCAAAACAAACCACGCATGCACGCGCGCATGATGCAATTATGGCGCTGACTTTGCACGCCTGAGACCTGGGGATCTGGGTGGGCAGCCAATCTTGGGACCAGCAGATGGACCATAAGTGCGAGCGCGCGCGGCGACAGCACCTGCGTAGGCAGCAGAGGCAGCGGTAAAGGACGCGGCGGCGGCCGAGGATGCTCGGCGCGGGTTCAAACTGCGCGACGCGCCAGACCGCCCAGTCAAATGCGCCCACCAGAAGGGTGTGGAAAAACGACGCCACGGGGGGCGCGGGCGACCGAGGATCACCGGCCGGCAATGGCGACGGCGAGGGCACGCGCAAGACCATGGCCGGCAGCAGACGATATCGCTGGCAGCCCTGCAAGCCCCGCGGCGGCCACGAGGAGGCGCGGAGGCGAGAAAGAGCGCGGGCAAGGTAACCGACATCGGTGCCGGGAGCAGGGCGACTACGACGGCTACGATGAATTGAGCAACGGCGGCCACTGCGGCTTCGCGAACGCGCCCAGGAGCTGATCCACAGGCGCGGTGCGACGACGACGAGGACATGCAAAGCAGGCGAACGCTAATGTACATACCTTCGCCAATTCCACCGAGCCCATCGGGGCCCTGGACTGCAGTTGCCGAAGCTAGCAAGTTCTCGAAAAGAAACCTGCATTCCAAGAAGCCCACGAAGTGCAATGCGCGCCTGATGGGCTCAGGACGACGATGTCACCTCATCTTTCTCTGGGTATTCGAGAGGCGTCGACCTGGGGCCGCCTGGGTGGCTCTTTCGGGGTCCACGACAGCATCGACTACCTGGGGGGATCGTTATTGGAGGTCTTGTTGTCTTACTCGCGGCCGTCCTCTGCAGCGGGATCAGAGGGCGCCCCCCCGCGCGGTACGAGGCCAAAAACGGCGCGGACCTCTGTCTGATCCCAGGGGCCGCTTCCGGCTTCATGGGCGCGGGCGCTCGCCGCGAGCGGTGCGTGGACGTCTTCGAGCCCCGTCGGCGTCGACTGCGACGGCATTCACCCGCGTCGATGGATCTCTCGCTCCATGGGCCGGCAAGAGAAAGGTGCCGATGGGGGGCCCCATGCTGGGGAATGCTACCTTCGCGGGCGACCTCATCGGCGGTCCAGGATCATGCTGCCCAGGACTATTCCCATTCAAATCCTCCATCAAGCTCATGACCCTCCATGATCGCGAACGCGCAACGTTGGCGGGGTCTTGGCGCCGTTCCCTGTAGAAGAGCATGGCGAGCGCCGGCGGGCCCCGGCCAACGGTGGACTGTTGTGTTCCGGTTCGGATCGCAGTTCGATGCCGAATGGCAATTGCAACAGAACGGAGCGGGTTGAGGATTCTGGACTTGCAGGAACCGCGGACGGCAACATGTCGAAGTCAGCAGATTGGCGACGAATGTTCATGGGACTAGTGACCCGGACGACGCGACGAAGACGGAACCATTGAAGTTACGAAACGAAGTTTATGCAATGACGAGAAGCTACAGCGTCGCCGTTCACGGTAGTCACTGGCGACAATCACAGGCTCCGATCGACGTCGCTTGTTCCCCGACCGATTTCCCCGACACCTACTCTTTCGCTAACTCGAGGATAGCTCCGACCTCGACCAGGGCTTCGCCCGCGATGGTTTTGACAGTCAACGAGGCCAAACCTCAGAAGTTCAAGACCAGGAAGCACTTGTTCTACTACAAGACGTGGGTTTGTTTCAAGGGCTGCAGACCGGCGCGCAGAACTCGCGCGGGCCGGCCTCGACAGCCGTGGCCGGGAGATGCGCGGCAAGGCTTGCATCGAAGTATCTGGGAAGTTCTACACGCAATCCAAACTGCGCATGATCACGTCCGACTATTCCGAGATGCTCCTGGACCACATGCCGAATATTTGCTTTCGTGAAGAGAGTTTCAAGAGCCTTTGCCGGGGGGCAGCGCGTTGTATGCTTGGGCTGGCAGATCGAGCGTTGCTGTGGGTCCCCCGGGATATGTTCGATGCGGGCGGGGTCGTTGACGGCCGACGCGTCGGGGACTTATCGCGCGTTTCCGATGGGCGATCGGAGCGAATCTCAAACTGTTCTCATCAGAGCGCATTCTTTGGACAATTGCGAGTC